ACTGGGACACTGGGGGGACAAAGGGACACCGGGCAGACAGATGGACACGGGGAGGGGGGCTGGGAATGGGGAGACATGGCCCAGGGACACGGGGGGACACGGTGGGGACACCGGGGGGACACAGGGACTGGGGACACGGGGAACAGAGTGGACACAGGGTGGGGACACAGAGATGGGGGACACGGGAGTGACAGGGACGTGGGGAGACGGGCAGGGAGGGGACACGGGGGGACACGGGGGGCGAAAAGGAGGTGACACGGGGACACCATAAGAGACATGGCGACATCATAGGGGGCATGAGGACACCATGAGGGGCAGGGGGACACCACAGGGGACATGGGGACTCCATAAGGGACATGGGGACATGGTGAGGGACATGAGGGACATGGTGGCACCACAAAGGACATGGGGACACCATAAGGGACATGTGGAGATCACAAGGGACATTGGGGACATGATAAGGGACATGGGGACACCATAAGGGATACGAGGACACACAGGGGACGTGGGGACACCACAGGGGTTGTGGGGACACCACGGAGGTGATGAGGACACCACAGGGGACATGGGGACACCAGAGGGGACTTGGGGATGTCACAGGGGGCATGGGGACATCAGAGGGGACAAGGGGACATCATAAGGGACATGGGGACGTGGTAAGGGACATGAGGGACATGGTGGCACCATAAGGGACATGGGGACATCACAGGGGTCATGGGGACACCATAAGGGACATGGGGACAGCAGACAGGACATGGGAACCCCAAGGGGACGTGGGGATGTCATAGGGGACATGGGGACACCATAAGGGACATGGGAACACCAGGGGGACATGGGGACACCAGACGGGACATGGGGACATCGGGGACAGAGTGGGGACACAGGGGGACATGGAGACAGGGAGCCGGGCATGCAGGTGTGGGGACACGGGGGGGACACAGAGGGGGACAGAGAGGGGACAGAGTGGGGGACACATTTGGGGACACAGAGGGGCACAGGAGGGGACAGAATGGGGACACATTTGGGGACACAGAGGGGCACAGGAGGGGACAGAGTGGGGACACATTTGGGGACACATTTGGGGACAGGGAGGGGACAGAGTGGGGACACGTTTGGGGACACATTTGGGGACAGGGAGGGGACACGGGGACAAGGGCGGACCGGGGATGAGGGGACAGAAGCGGGACAGGGGCACGGGGAGCTGGGGACACTGATGGGGACAAGGTCCCGGCACGGGGACACGGGAGGTGACACGGGGGGACCGAGCGGCCGCGGGGCAGCACGGTGACAGCGGCACGGGCGGGGCCGCGGGGACACCCCGGGGCCGTGGGAGCGGGTGACACCCGCGGTGACACGGGCGGTGACACCCGAGGGGACACGGGGGGGACGCGCCAGGCGCGGGGATCCCCGCAGCCCTCGGCCCCGCGGAAGCCGCAGAACAATGGCGCAGCGTCACTGTCGCCGTCACTGTCGCCGCGGCGGCCCCGGGGACCCCCCCGGGCCAGGGGAGGCGACACAGGTGACACGCGAGGTGACACGGGCCCCCTGCCAGGCCGTACGTGCGGCTCCGCACAGCGCGGCCGCGGCCGCGGCGCCAGCGGGGCCAAAGGGCGCCCGGGGCGGGGGGGACGGCGACAGCGACGTCACCGAGGCCACCGGGAGCCCCCCCCGGTCACCTGCCGCCCCCCGGGATTGTCACAGCCCCCGCGCCGAGCGCGCTCGTGTCCCCAGTGGCACCGGGACACCCCCGCAAGGGCCACACGGTGTCCCCTGGGTGCCCCCCCGGTGTCCCCCGAGTGTCCCCAGCGTCCCCCCGGTGTCCCCTGGGTGTCCCCGGAGTCCCCCCGGTGTCCCCTGGGACCCCCCCGGTGTCCCCGAGTGTCCCCTGGGTGTCCCCCGGTGTCCCCTGGGTGCCCCCCGGTGTCCCCCGAGTGTCCCCTGGGTGTCCCCAGCGTCCCCCCGGTGTCCCCTGGGTGTCCCCCGGTGTCCCCCGGGGCTTCCTGCCCCAAATGTCACCTGTGACGCAGAGGAAGGCGCAGCCCCGCCCCCCAAGCTGCCCCCAAAAACACCAAAAAACCCCGAAAAAAACCCCAAAAAACCAAAAACCCCAAAGCCCCCAAATCCCCCCCTAACCCCTCCAAACCCCCCTAAAACCCCCTGACACCAAGAGCTCAGGGTGACACTGAGGGCCCAAGGTGACACCGAGGGGCTCAGGGGACATCGAGGCTTTCAGGGGAACATCGAGGGGCTGGGGGTGACATCGAGAGCTTGGGGTGACATCGAGGGACCCGTGGTGACAGTCAGAGGCCAGGGTGACACTGAGGGACCCAGGGTGACACCGAGAGCTCGGGGTGACACCGCGGGCTCTCCCGGTGTCCCCCCCATTCCCGGTGCCCCCCGGTTCCCGGCTCGCTCCCGGTGTCCCGTCAGGCGCACGGCGCCTCGGGGCACAGCCGGATGTGGATGGCCGAGTTGTGCCGGGGCGGCTCGGCCTCCTCGCCGTCCCGCCGGCTCTCGCGGCTGTCGCGGTGCCCGCGGGGGTCGCGGGGGTGGCGGGGGTCGCGCAGCGGCACGGAGGAGGTGTTGGCGTGCAGCCGCAGCGCGCCCCCCGCGCCCGCCTGCAGCTGCAGCGCCAGGTTGATGGTGCGGGGCACGGCGAGCCCCAGCCCGTGCAGCCGCAGCTCCCCGGTACCGGGGGCACCGGGACCCCCGGGACCCCCGCCCGCCGCCAGCAGCCGCTGGCAGCGCCGCAGCTGCGCCCGGAAGTCCGAGCGTGACGTCACGAAGACGTCATGGCGGCCCGGGCCGGAGCTGGGCGGGGGGGAG